AAAAAAATGAAAACAGTGGTACCTTGGGTTACAGATGCTTCAGGTTACAGACGCTTCAGGTTACAGACTCCGCTAACCCAGAAACAGTACCTTGGGTTAAGAACTTTGCTTCAGGATGAGAACAGAAATTGTGTGGTGGTGGTGCGGCAGCAGCGGGAGGCCCCATTAGCTAAAGTGGTACCTCAGGTTAATAACAGTTTCAGGTTAAGAACGGACCTCCAGAACAAATTAAGTTCTTAACCCAAGGTACCACTGTACAGTAATTCAAATTATTTATTTGGGAGAGGTGTGCTGAAGGATTGTGGTTTTATTGCATGGAAATTGTTTCAATGAACACTGTCTGCTTTCTCAAACTGGGTTGTGTTGGGTGTTTGTATGAGTGCATCTCTCTTCTCCTGTATCCCCTCAAAAAAATCTCCAGAGTGTTGAAGGGGCCTAAATAGCAAGGGCTGGTGTCAAAAACTGGGGGAACCTCTGCTGATGCAAAATTCCTCTATCCGATTTCAGGCGATCCTTCCCACCGAGTATGGTCTTGTGTGACACAACCTTCACTACTCAGTGCCCGCTCTGGAGTAGGATTTTTGGGATGGGTGCATGGGCCTTTCTGAATTTTAATGATATATAAATTAAAAACTATCAATTAATTATGAATTCTAATGATATTTAAACTTTTCTCTTTTTTCTGAGGAGGGAAATCTGTTATTCTATCAAGCAAACACACTTGGTAGTTTGCCACTGCCAAGTATGGTAGCGTGATATAGTAGCTATATACAACAATTTTTCAGTTGTCAGGACATTTGTGTACTGAAGATGAACTACTATACAGTCAATATTTATTATTAGAACAGGGATGGTCACACTTTCACCCTTCAGTACCTTTTGGTAGGCATACCCTTTTGTGATAAACAGCTGGAATTCCCCTTTTGATACAAAAGTACCAAAGGCTTAATGTCGAATTACTGTAAGAGAGTCCAGTCCTCTGCAAATAAAAAAAGGAGTAACTGTGTCAGTCTTATTAGATGTAGTGCTGTTCCGCCAGCATGTGTGTCATACTCTCAAACGAAGGTCATTTACCATGGGTCCATTTTGGTCAAAATGGCTGCTATCTTCATAGGGCCACTGATAGCATCAACACTGTGCAAATGTGCTTATCTGGTATTTAACAATACCATCAAATTTCCTTGACAGGTTAGGCTTTGTATAACATCCCACTTGTTGTGTGACCATTTTAGTAAGCAAATCAACATGTTTTAATTGGTATATATATATATATATATATATATATATATATATATATATACATATACCTGAGTATACCTTACCCAGGGTCCTTTGGTTGAAGAGCAGGTTATAAATCCAACCAGTGCTTTTGCTGGGGGTATGCAGGGGTAATCATACCCCTAAACATTTGGTGAATCTTTATACTTTTGTCCATTTACTGTATTTAGTTTTCCCGATTTTAACTATAAAATCATGGTTTTCTTGAGTCAAAATGAGAGTACCCCTAAACATTTTTCTGGGGGGAAAAGCATTGAATCCAACCCATCAATCAGTCATTGTGTGTGGGTGTGTAGCTACACCCACATATATGTTTGGATTGTCATGAAATGCTGGTGAACTCTAGGTGATAAAGATTTAAAGGTGTTACAGTGGCATTTTTAAGTGGCCGAGACTGGCATAGACAAAGTATGCTGGAGCCTTTGATAAAAGGCCAGAGGAAATTTTGGATCTTAGATCGTAAGAGACTTTCTTTGGGTTTGCTAAAACCGCCATCTGATGTCAGTGGGAAGCTTTCCAGGGACTTCAAAGATGTACAAAGGCTGTCTTCTGTCCTTTTGCGGGCAAAATGCCTATGGAGCTCAACAGCAGCCCCAGCCTTGCTTTAAAGGACAATATGAATACTGCTGGAAAGGAATTAATGTTTTACCCCCTTTTAGCCCAGAGGAAAAGATTGACGTTAGAATTCCTTCCAGTATTCACACAGTATATCAGTGAAGAATCTATTCTCTCTCAATTCCAGCTAAGTTTAATGGAACACAGGGATGTGTTCAAGGCTGGGTGTATTTTCAAACAGTCTTTTAGCCAAACACCTGTGAGTGGACTTTCTATAATAATAACTCGAACACATCCAAAGGCTGATGTGGCACAGAATGTTAGAAAAGATGACCTTAGGGGTCTCTTCTGATCTTACATTCTGTGATTCTACAAGAATGGTAATGGCTGGGTACAGAGTAAAGCAAATTACCAGACATTTTGACCTAGCCACAAAGCACTTTTCACATCAATGATTATTTGGTGATTATTCTTATTTCTGTTCCTCTTTCTAAAATTCAAACAATGAACTAGATATTGTTAAGTCCGTTTCAGCTTCAGATGAAGTAGACTACAGTCTAGGAAAACTCATGCTCTTAAAATAAAACAAGTTAGTTTCTAAGGTGCTGCTAACAAAGAAGGTTCTTCACCTTTTATAATAAATAACTGCAGACTGTAAACATTTGAACCTGACTACTACATATAGATAGGATGTCTCTTAACACCTTCAATGCAATGCTTTTCAGGGTAGTTAGCCACACATTTACAATGCTGTAAAGAAAAATATTGCATAGGAACCTGGAATGTAAGAACCATGAACCTGGGTAAGTTGGATGTGGTCAAAAATGAGATGGCAAGAATAAATATTGACATCCTGGGCATCAGTGAACTAAAATGGACGGGAATGGGCGAATTCAGTTAGGATGACCATCATATCTACTACTGTGGGCAAGAAACCCGTAAAAGAAATGGAGTGGCCCTCATAGTCAACAAAAAAGTGGCGAAATCTGTACTGGGATGCAATCTCAAAAATGATAGAATGATCTCGATACGAATCCAAGGCAGACCTTTTAACATCACAGTAATCCAAGTTTATGCACCAACCACTGGTGCTGAAGAAATTGAAATTGACCAATTCTATGAAGACTTACAACACCTTATAGAAATGACACCAAAGAAGGATGTTCTTCTCATTATAGGGGATTGGAATGCTAAAGTAGGGAGTCAAGAGATAAAAGGAACAACCGGCAAGTTTGGCCTTGGAATTCAAAACGAAGCAGGGCAAAGGCTAATAGAGTTCTGCCAAGAGAACAAGCTGGTCATCACAAACACTCTTTTCCAACAACACAAGAGACGACTCTACACATGGACATCACCAGATGGGCAGCATTGAAATCAGATTGATTATATTCTCTGCAGCCAAAGATGGAGAAGCTCTATACAGTCAGCAAAGCAAGACCTGGAGCTGACTGTGGCTCAGATCATCAGCTTCTTATAGCAAAATTCAAGCTTAAACTGAAGAAAGTAGGAAAACCCACTGGGCCGGTAAGATACAATCTAAGTCAAATCCCTTATGAATACACAGTGGAAGTGAGGAACAGGTTTAAGGACTTAGATTTGGTGGACAGAGTGCCTGAAGAACTATGGATGGAGGCTCGTAACATTATACAGGAGGCAGCAACGAAAACCATCCCAATGAAAAGGAAATGCAAGAAAGCAAAGTGGCTGTCCAGCGAGGCCTTACAAATAGCGGGGGAGAGAAGGCAAGCAAAATGCAAGGGAGATAGTGAAAGATACAGGAAACTGAATGCAGATTTCCAAAAAAATAGCAAGGAGAGACAAGAAGGCCTTCTTAAACGAGCAATGTAAAGAAATAGAGGAAAACAGTAGAATGGGAAAAACCAGATATCTGTTCAAAAAAATTGGAGATATGAAAGGAACATTTCGTACAAAGATTTCCATAATAAAAGACAAAAGTGGAAAGGACCTAACAGAAGCAGAAGACATCAAGAAGAGGTGGCAAGAATACACAGAGGAACTATACCAGAAAGAAATGGATGTCTCGTACACCCCAGGTAGTGTGGTTGCTGACCTTGAGCCAGACATCCTGGAGAGTGAAGTCAAATGGGCCTTAGAAAGCACTGCTAATAACAAGGCCAGTGGAAGTGATGATATTCCAGCTGAACTATTTAAAATTTTAAACGATGATGCTGTCAAGGTGCTACACTCAATATGCCAGCAAATTTGGAAAACTCAGCAGTGGCCAGAGGATTGGAGAAGATCAGTCTACATTCCAATCCCAAAGAAGGGCAGTGCCAAAGAATGCTCCAACTACCGCACAATTGCACTCATTTCACACGCTAGCAAGGTTATGCTTAAAATTCTACAAGGCAGGCTTAAGCAGTATGTGGACCGAGAACTCCCAGAAGTGCAAGCTGGATTTAGAAGAGGCAGAGGAACCAGAGACCAAATTGCAAACATGCGCTGGATTATGGAGAAAGCTAGAGAGTTCCAGAAAGACATCTACTTCTGCTTCATTGACTATGCAAAAGCCTTTGACTGTCGACCACAGCAAACTATGGCAAGTTCTTAAAGAAATGGGAGTGCCTGATCACCTCATCTGTCTCCTGAGAAATCTCTATGTGGGACAAGAAGCTACAGTTAGAACTGGATATGGAACAACTGATTGGTTCAAAATTGGGAAAGGAGTACGACAAGGCTGTATATTGTCTCCTGCTTATTTAACTTATATGCAGAATTCATCATGCGAAAGGCTGGGCTGGATGAATCCCTAGCCGGAATTAAGATTGCTGGAAGAAATATCAACAACCTCAGATATGCGGATGACACAACCTTGATGGCAGAAAGTGAGGAGAAATTAAAGAACCTTTTAATGAGGGTGAAAGAAGAGAGTGCAAAATATGGTCTGAAGCTCAACATCAAAAAAACGAAGATCATGGCCACTGGGCCCATCACCTCCTGGCAAATAGAAGGGGAAGAAATGGAGGCAGTGAGAGATTTTACTTTCCTGGGCTCCATGATCACTGCAGATGGTGACAGCAGTCACGAAATTAAAAGACGCCTGCTCCTTGGGAGAAAGGCGATGGCAAACCTAGACAGCATCTTGAAAGCAGAGACATCACCTTGCCAACAAAGGTCCATATAGTTAAAGCCATGGTTTTCCCAGTAGTGATGTATGGAAGTGAGAGCTGGACCATAAAGAAGGCTGATCGCCGAAGAATTGATGCTTTTGAATTATGGTGCTGGAGGAGACTCTTGAGAGTCCCATGGACTGCAAGAAGATCAAACCTCTCCATTCTTAAGGAAATCAGCCCTGAGTGCTCACTGGAAGGACAGATCGCGAAGCTGAGGCTCCAATACTTTGGCCACCTCATGAGAAGAGAAGACTCCCTGGAAAAGACCCTGATGTTGGGAAAGATGGAGGGCACAAGGAGAAGGGGACGACAGAGGATGAGATGGTTGGACAGTGTTCTCGAAGCTACAAACATGAATCTGACCAAACTGCGGGAGGCAGTGGAAGACAGGAGTGCCTGGCATGCTCTGGTCCATGGGGTCACGAAGAGTCGGACACGACTAAACGACTAAACAACAGCAACAACAGTCACACATTCAGTAGCCAGTTATGGAGATTTGGTATAGTGGAGGACTTTCACCTTTGAAATGAACTTATTAGTGTTGTCAAAATATCTCAGTACAGCTGGAACTTTGCACATGCCCAGATATACTCAAAATATGTATATTTTTGCTTTGCTCTGAAAGCTGAGTGTAAGAAATCAGAGGGAGCTGTGGTAGTTCAAGCTATGTTCTTTTAGCACAGAAAGTCACAGTGATTCCTACAAATATTCTGTCCATTGTGATTGCAATACTGGGAATTATCCCACTGTAACAGCAATAAGATGACTGCATTTGTAATTACTCCTGGGCACAATGAACTTATAAAATGCAAGTATCCATCTCCAATATTCAGATATTAACACCAGGAAAAGTTCCAGTAGGCAGCTGCTAGCATTTTCTCCCAATAATTGGATTAAGTATAAATTTTCATTTCCTGAGACATGTTTCTACCTTTCCCCACAAGGGACACCTCAGTCAAATGCCTGTGAGTTCTGATTGGCCAGAGTCCCCCTTTTGACCTCCCTGCCGCATTTCAGGGGGGAATTATATTGTGATCTAATGACAGTTCAGTACCTGAGTCCTTTTTCATTTAACAAGTTAGAGCAGGGTGTGGAGAAGGGGGAAAGTCCTGTTGTGAAAGCGTGAATAATCATTTTGCTGTTGGGACTGTAGCTAGGGATGCACTGGATACATGCCTTAATATTGATTTTTGCCAAAGCGTGTTCTCCCTCGTGGAGAGCACATGTTGCGGTGGGGGCTGACGAGACACCTCACTGTTGCTAGGCAAAAGAGTTTGGCCATCTTTTAAGCAGGAGTGGGCTGTTACTGGGGAAATTTATATGTTGCCATTTATTGATTGACAGCCCTATTTGTTAAATACACTGCATGCAGTGACAAACTTCCTCTTTTCGCTGCGTGCTTCGGATCACCCGCCCTCCCTCCCTAATGTTAGGCTGCTTGCTTGACCTTGCTATGCCTGTCAAGCGTCTGCTTGGGGGCAGGGGCCTGGTAGGAATTTTGTCCATTTGGCTGATTGGCTGGTGCCACTTGGTTTTTGCCTACTGCGTGGCAAATCATCACAACTTGTAAGGTTGCGGTTAGGCATTGGTTTGGGAATTGGTTGGTGGAGGGGTATGGATTTGGATGTGCTTGCCCCTCCAAAATGCGGCTGCTGCTGCAAGGGTTTTCCATTAAAGGAACCCAGGGGCTCACCATGCTTTTGTCCGAACTCACTGGCAAGAGGCTAGGGCCACACAAGAGCCCCTGGGAGCATTCTGGGGAGAGGTGAGGCATGGTTCCCAGTCCCGTCTCTCTCCCCAGGTGACTTACCCTTTCTGACTTCGCAGGGGGTGCGAATGTCAGAGCTGTCCCTGTGTGGGGTCAGTTAGTCGCTACCAATGCCTAAGCAACCACTCACATTGCTGTAATTTTAATAAAGTTGTGGCCAAAATTATGCCAAAAACCTGAAACAAAAATTAAGTGTAATTGTGTTTTTATTTGGGGTGTCTTGGGGACCTCGACGTGCAAATACGTTTTTACAGACAAATGTTGGCATTTACAAATGAATTGCTGCTATTGCAGTAACCTCTGCAGCACACAATTGTTTCCTGGAAATATCCCCAAAGTTATAGTTCCATGGATGCACATGAAAGGTATGTGCTCACATATGTGTGTATAGACAGATGGGCAAATCTGGTCACAATGGCTTTAGGGAAGTTTGATAATGTCAAGGGCGGGTGCCAGGAGCAGGTCAGCAATAACACGGCTTACTCTTGATTCAAAGAAACAAGGCAGCTTAGGAGGCCAGGCCTAGAAAGCACAGCAACTCATCCCAGTAGAACTTGCCCCTATGAGCCAGTTGTGAGGACTGAAGATAAACTTGGTGTCCTCCAGAGGTTGTGAACAACAATTCCCATCATCTTTGACCATTGCCCATATTGGTTAGCGCTGATGGGAGTTGTCATCCATAGCCTCTGGAGCACACCCTGGCACAAAATATTTATGATCCTGCATCCTTGTGGATATTATCTATGGTTTTTCCACCTCCTATATAGCTCAGCATCAATTAAAAGTTTACTACATGGGATATGTAGCTTTCATATTTGTCTTAAGTAGAGACAAACAATCACCCCAGTATTTCATTGTCTTTATATTATGAGCACGATTTGTAAGACTTTATGTCCAAGTCAATTAATATGCCTCATCTATATGAGCTTTCATCTTTATAGTCCAAATTACGACTATGAGTCTTCAGCTTTAAAAGGGTCTAACAGACGTCAGGAGAACCTTGTGCCGCTTGGACAAATTGAGGGTTAAACCTTTGTGGTTACTGTAAAGTAAGATAGGAGACTATTCATTGCCGGCTATAAATTAGAAACACCGCTTGAGCTCAATATTTTCTCATTCATTCAGTTCCAGATTACAGATATTGGATGGTATCCAACTCACCCATTCTGTCGGCACAAGGCTTTTCTCTTCTGCAGTGGAACTTCCCCCATCTCCTCCCATGCCCTGTAAATCTGCTCTTGAGTTTTTCACCGACCCTGTAGAGCAAAATTGTGGAGGTTGTGGTTGTAGGGAGAGGATGGGAGGAATTCTGTTGGGCAAGTGGAGATCCTTGTGCTGATGGAACAAGTTACTTAGCCCACCTGCTCCTCTACTCCTATGTGCAGATCAGCAGAGGAGTGTGTGGGTGTGGGTGGGTGTATCTTCTATCATCTATATCTATCTGTCTGTCTATCTATCTATATCTATCTATCTATCTATCATCTATCTATCTCTATCTCATTGTGAGACTGGGCTGGGCTACATGTTTCTTCTGCACCTGGTTCAGTGCCACAATGGGATAAAAACTGCATGCCTTCCACACTTTAGATGATCTGAAATTTGCAGAGGGCAAAATTGTTTCTCTCCATTGCAGTGCTGGGCAGGATGGAAAGCTTTAAATCTTTCTGCTAGGATGTATGAAGTTATCTCCTTATCCTGTATGTACACCGATTATTTCCACTTTATCCTGTATTGCATATGGAAGTAGGCTTTGGGCAGCCCTTCTCTGCTTTTCCAATATATGCTATTTTCATGCTGTTCATCACACTTAATATATAGGTACCATATTTTTCGCTCTATAAGACGCACCAGACCACAAGACGCACCTAGTTTTTGGAGGAGGAAAACAAGAAAAAAAATATTCTGAATCTCAGAAGCCAGAACAGCAAGAGGGATCGCTGCGCAGTGAAAGCAGCGATCCCTCTTGCTGTTCTGGCTTCTGGGATAGCTGCGCAGCCTGCATTCACTCCATAAGATGCACACACATTTCCCCTTACTTTTTAGGAGGGAAAAAGTGAGTCTTATAGAGCAAAAAATATGATATCTTAATTATGCTTTCATTACTTAAGAAGCCATGTTTCCACAGGCCTATTCTAAATGTTACAGTTCAAGAAGAGGAAGGCTGCAAAAAATGGCCAAACCAGTTTCTTCTGTTAAGTAGAAAGTCTGGCCTTTTTTCTTTTCTTTTGTTAGGCCATTGCAAAACTAGAGTTGACAAAATACAGGTGATTTGTTTTTGTGTGAGTTATGGTCAGCGCTGGCCTTTGGCAGCAGTAATGTCGGTAGAGAATTCACTGTGTTGTTATATTATGAATAAAAATCCCTGAATAAAAAACCTACTCATTAATTCACCACAAAAGCTGGCAGAGCATATTAGATTTGGGGATTACTTCAAGGTTAGACTTTAGAGTGCCAGAACATCCCACGTTGATGCATAAATACGAACCTGGATATTTTCCCCAACGCCCTTCTCTCTGCCCAGTACTGCTGTGCTATGTTCCACAGGGTCCACAACAGACTAATGCTCTCTTACAAAGAATGGAGATTTTGCTATTGACTGAGGGGGAATCAATGGTAATATTAATTCCTTGTTTTCTCTTGGATTATTTTTCAGTGGAACCTGTTTTCAAAACTGAAATTCATTTGGAACATATTCTAATCAACCTTTAAAAAAAATAAAAAAGTGTTTTTTTGAAATGTACAAAAGGATTAACAATCATTGCATATCTGGGAAGTAAAATTGACAATGAATTAACAGTGAAACAATGTTATTTTTGCGTCTCTCTGATATGCTTTCAGAATAGTTTAATTCAAAGCTTAGTTGAGCACAAATTAATGAACTTCGAGTATTACCCAAAACTTATTATGTTAGACTTTAGAAGCTTCTTTTTTAATAATATGAGTAATATCAGCTATAAAATCCCCACAGATATGGTATTTATAAGCATAGTACTACTTCATCAAATATTAAAATGGGTCAAGCAATTTTCCTTCAGTGCCTTTCCTGCTTAGCCTACCAGGATAGTGTGCCTGCCAAATGAAGGATGGAAATAACTTGCATTTACCATCAGTTGACTGCCTTGATTTTCTACATTTTTCAGCTTATATTAAGTTTATAAACAGGGCATTTCTCTTTTCCCTTCCTACTTCTCCATACCCTGCCCCCCAACTGAAACTAAACATTCTGAGACTATTAGACATGCTCAGCCCTCAATAAGCTTTTTACAAGGTTGGTTTTGCACTGCTGTCAACCTTGAGGCCCTTTAATGGACTAGAGCCAAAGTGGGTGGAGTTTATGGCACTCCATGATTGCATCTCTCTGTCCCCCTCTATGCTTTCCCCATCTTTCACCTCTCCATCTGTTTTGGCTTGTTCTCCTTTCACCCTTCATTTACACAGGTTGGAATGGCTTACATACAGCTCAGTCTGGATCTGTTTTTCCCCTCTGGGTTCCCCCCAGTCCATGACCCACTGAAAGTCTTCCCTCTCCCACTTGGGCACACTATTTAGCAGACCTGTCTCCTCCCCACCCCACACACATGGTGGGAAGGCTTGCAGGCGAGAATCTGTCAGAAGGGGAAAGGTCTGGAATCCAACAGCGTACAGAATATTTTTATTCTGGCTGAAGCTTCAGAAGACAGGGAAGGTGCCCCCCCCAATTTCCCCTTCTCCAGAGGATTGGGGAATCCTCCAAAGAGCATGGAAAGGTGGGAAGCAGAATTGAGCAAAAATTATTGTGCTTTCCCTTATATTAGTGGAGGCTAGTCTGCTTGTGGAGAGGCTTTTCCCATTTGCCAAAGGGCACAATTGGATACAACCCAACAAGACTAGTTTGACTCTTGGAAATAACCTACTTGGGGATAACTTGATTGTGGATGGTTCCATACAAACACTAGTAAAGGTAAAGGTAAAGGGACCCCTGACAATTAAGTCCAGATGGGAATGACTTTAAAGGCCGAGGGAGCTGGTGTTTGTCCACTTCCGCAGACAGTTTTTCCGGGTCATGTGACCAGCATGACTAAGCCGCTTCTGGTGAAACCAGCGCAGCGCATGGAAACACCGTTTACCTTTCCGCCGGAACGGTACCTATTTATCTACATGCACTCCGTGCTTTCGAACTGCAGGAGCTGGGACCGAACAACGGGAGCTCACCCCGTCACAGGGATTTGAACCGCTGACCTTTTGTTTTTGTTTTTTTATAAGATATTTATTAAGGTTTTTTGACATATTACAGTAAAAATGAAAAAGAAAAGAGAAAAATACAAAATAAAAACAGTTAAAAACACACATATTTTCAGTTACTTATTTTCCTTTAGCTTGTTTCCCGGACCTCCTTGTACCTCCCTTTTTTGTATTCCACTTCAATTTATTGGTTCAGCAAATCCTTACCATTAGATTTTGACCCATTTATAACCCTTTTTTCATATTCTCTTAAAGCATTACAACTAGAAACCGCTTAATTACTATCCAACATCATTCTATCATTCATTAATTTTACAATATTTCTGTAAATAGTCTTTAAATTTCTTCCAATCTTCTTCCACTGACTCTTCTCCCTGGTCTCGGATTCTGCCAGTCATTTCTGCCAATTCCATATAGTCCATCACCTTCATCTGCCATTCTTCCAAATTGAACCGCTGACCTTTTGATCGGCAAGCTCAAGCGGCACAGTGGTTTTACCCACAGCGCCACCCGCGTCCCAACACTGGTAAAGGTAAAGGGACCCCCTGCATGGTTCCACACAAACACTAGCCACTGCCTAAAATTTACATTCTTTGAGAAAGAACAACACAATAAGCTCTTCTGCCTGCTACAATTTGGCATCATGAAGAATAATCCAAATGGAGACTCTTACCAACCCCTTGCATGTGATAGAAACCATGTGAAGACCAAGTAGGATGCTGAAACTAAAAAGATTAATAAATACTTCAAGATTTAGGCTGCAGTCCTAACCTCACTTACCTGGGAGTCAGCCCCATTGAATTCAGTAGGATTGAGTAGACATGGTTACGATTGCACTATTAACATATTAATATAAGTATGCAACAGACTGTTCCCCAACTCATCTTCTTGGAAGAAAGGCTGCAACTATTCATGATATATATAACCACAGTACCTATAAGCTTATGGAATAAGACTTTAATTTATGAATACTTCAGGAAACCATGGCTGAAGAGTAAGCATGAATCCATGACTATTCAAAGAATCCTTTATACACCATGATTTAAAAATTTGGACTAAGCATAGAAGCGAGCTTTGGTCTTCATGACTGGCCATAGCAACTCAGTCTAACTTGGTAAAGAAGTGGTATATGTGTTTCATATTTAAAGAAAAAAAATGATGTTCCTGTTGATTTTAAAGCTTTGGGAATGGGCTTTTCATTCTTTAAAGGCTAAGTTAATTGCTTTTAGATTACCAATCATCTGTGCTTTTCTCTCTGATTGTATCTCTGCTTGATATGTTTTCATGTTGTAAATGCATGATAATTTGCTGTGATTGTATCTGTAGTTCATGTTTTTATGTTGTAATTGTATGCTAATTTCTGATTGTACATTTATCAGATACAGGAGTGTGATTTCCGCCCCACCCTCTCCTTGAATTCTCTCCTAGAATAAGTAATCTCATTTACACAGCTCATGTCCTTTCGGAAACTAAGTATATTTCAGAAAAGAGTGGCACTGGTTTGAATTGGCGGAAGATATAAAGGATGCTATTTATATTATTTTTAAAAATTAAATAATAGTGTTATCCTGGTCCTCCTGAAACAAGCATACCCACTCTATTACACTGGGCAACAATTTTTTACTTTTTGAATGTTGTATAGATTTCTACAACTGATTTAGGGTATTTTTGCACTGCTGAATCAGGAAATGGCATCCGTTTCTCTCCATCAGGTCAGATTTACTGTAAACTGAATGGTGGGCATTGATAAAGGTAAGTACACATAAATTGCATGTTGCTTCACCATTTTTCAAATTTCAGGGCTTGAATTTCCCTTTCTTGGAACTCCTGGAATGCTCAGCGGCAGGGAGGTCTCTCTTCAGAGTCCAACAGTAGTCAGCCATCATGGCTGCATCCCAGCGACCCTGATACCTGGTCTCCATCTCTTTCATGTCCTGATGGAATCTCTCCCCCTGCTCGTCACTCATTGAACCCAGGTTCTCAGGAAACCGGTCCATATGTGAAAATAGGTAGTGCATCTTGACACTCATGTTGCAGCCCAGGTTTCTGAAAGCAGTCAGCATGTTGTTGACAAGTTCTGCATAGTTTCTGGCCTTATTGTTGCCAAGAAAGTTCTTCACTACCAGAATAAATGCCTTCCATGATTCCAGTTCCACTTCGTACATTGACTTTCCGAACTCTGGATCTCTGATGAGCTGATGGATCTGAGGACCATCAAAAATGCAAGCTTTCAACTTCTCCAAGGTCAATCCTGGAAAAGCCTGGCACAAGCAAGTGAAGCAGTCACTATCCTTGTCCAGAGCCTTGGTGAACTGCTTGATTAAGCCGAGCTTGATGTGCAGCGGTGGGAAGAGTATTTTGTCTCTGTCCACCAGAGGGTTGTTGATGATGTTCCTTTTTTTGCAAGGCACCAATTCCTCCTGCACAGGCCAGTCCTTCTTCGTGTAATGCTGAGCACAGTCCCTACTATCCCACATGCACAGAAAACATGGGTACTTGGTGAAGCCAGACTGTTGTCCCAACAAAAAGTTCACCATCTTCAGGTCAACACAAATAAACCACTTATGCTGATCATAACCAATTTTCTCCAGCACATCCTTCACCGCTTCATAGTTCTCCTTCAGTGTACTCAAGTGAGCCAGGGGTATAGAGGTAAACTGG